AAACCCCAAGAACCCCAAATCCACAACCTCAAAAAAGTAGATTATTACATGCAATCAATAAAACAAGGATTGTACATAGAACAATATCGGACCTCTGAAAAGTACAAGCATGCATATGTACTCAGTACTTGGTTTGGGCCCCTTTTGCAGCACTTACTGCAATTACTTTTGCACGATATTCTAATTATTCGAGTTTCACCTGTATATATATAAATATCTTTGCTATATTTATTTATTAGGATCAGGACTACAAATATATGATTTTTTTCTAAGCACGTGCATAAGAAATACTGAATACAAATACTGTATGATATAGTCTTTTTTTGTTAGCCAGCAGGTGGCGCTCTAGACCTCTTTTTATGTGTTTAGCCTTTCCGTAGAAAAAAAAAGCCAACAGTTAACAGACTGCAATAGCTCAAGCTGATATTTACACACACAAGTGAATAATAGCTGTAAAACATTACTTATGGGATAGCTCTGTCCAAGGTTTCAATTCAACAAAGCCAGCCAAAAGGCAGGGAGCATTTACTGCTCCATTAGAAAACCCGTAGTGCTCTGGGAGCTCTTTGCCATATATTAAATGTTTAAAAAGACGTTATATATGAAGTTAATCTTAGTCTAAATTACATGGCCACCCCTTAGCATGAACCCTTTGAGCTCACCATTTTGTACGGTGTTACACAACAACACTTCCTCTTCCTTTCCTGCCTTCCCTCCACCTCCCCCTGCGTGTTTCAGCCAAAAGGAAAGCGTCAAATGATCAGCTGCTCCGCCCCCTGCAGGTAACCGCCCTGCAGGAACTTCCACTGACTGGGAACCATTGAACCAGTAGACTGGGCTGCTGTCCTGTGTATCCTGTATGGGGAGGCTGTTTGTCCAGTTATACAAAGGGCTGGGGGGAGGAAGTAAGTCAACATCTCCTGCGGCAGCTCCTAAGAGGGACAAAGACAAAAGGATTTTGTACTAATTAGTCAGTAGTCTGAACATCCTGCAACTGAGATGGGATTCTCATAGTGACATTATCTGAGGTATTAAGCTGTGAGCTGTGATGAAACTGCAAATCCCATCATGCATCTGCCTCTGGGAGTCAAGCCTGTTGCTGTCAGAGTCTTGCAATGCCTCATGGGAGTTGTAGTTGCACCACAGCTGGAGGGCCGGAGTTTTTGCCCATCCTTGCTGTAGATGAAAGCCTGGCAACAATATTATATCACTGACGTACCGCACAGCTTTCGTAAGGACTTCTCCGAGTAATTGTCCCGATCGCAGCCCTTGGCAATGTGACTGGTTTGGATCTCCACAGTGGCCTGAATGTTCCATATTGGCTCCTCGCAGGTCTCCAGGTGGATGTTGGGAAATAACGCCAGGCTTCCTGTGCCAGGCACGTACTCAATGCGTTTGTTCCAGCCTGTTAGGGGAGGGAGCAGAGCCGTCAAGCATCTATATGCATGTTGAGGTGCTATACATGCAACAATATCTCACCAAGAGTGGTGGTGGTGAGAAGACAGAGTGCAGACACTGCTCACCCAAAGAGAGCACACAGTGCCAGAGCATACGCTGTCAAAGCACACGCTGCCAAAGCACACACTGTCGGAGCTCAGGCATAACTTACACAGAAAGAGCCTACACAGTCACAGTATTCACTATCGAAGCACACACTGTTAGAGCAATACACTGTCTGAGCACAGACACAACCTACACAGAAAGAGCCTACACTGCCAGAGCTCAGAGACTGTGTACATAGAAAGAGCACACGCGGTTAGAGCACACACTGTCAGAGCACACACTGTTAGATCACACATTGTCAGAGCTCACACGGTCAGAGCACACACGGTCAGAGCACACACGGTCAGAGCACACACGGTCAGAGCACACACGGTCAGAGCACACACTGTCAGAGCACACACGGTCAGAGCACACACGGCCAGATCACACACGGTCAGATCACACACTGTCAGATCACACACTGTCAGATCACACACGGTCAGATCACACACTGTCAGAGCTCACACGGTCAGATCACACACTGTCAGAGCACACACGGTCAGAGCACACACGGTCAGATCACACACTGTCAGATCACACACTGTCAGAGCACACACTGTCAGAGCACACACTTTCAGAGCCCAGAAACAACTCACACAGAAAGAGCACACACTCATTGTCAGGGCTTGTTCACACCAAATGCAGACCAGATCTGCATGAGTTTCTGCACACGCAGTGCAGTGTGTTGTGCCGCGTTTTAGCCGCGTTCAGGGCCGTTTTTGCAACAACACATGCGCATGGTGTGAACTAGCCCTCAGGGTTTACATACAATTTAAATAAAACACCACATTTAAGGAACAGGCACATGTTACTAGTGTAAGCCTGTTTGACAAGGTTCACATAAATCAGCTGATTTTGTGCATATACTTTCACACACTGTCACCTTTCCAGCTCGGCTTGCAGATGGGTTTCACCTGGATCTCCACCTCTGCATCTTCTACGGCGCGTTTCTTGCCACAATCATATGCAGTCACTGTGAATCTGATCAGCCGGTCACCATTGGCTTGGAGAGGCTGAGTGTTCTTTATATAACCTACAGACACAATGCAAGTGATATATGAGGTATATGAGTACACCTACAACCATGCAGTAAAGTGGACCTTGCAATACAACGTAAAGCCCCCCCCCCCTCTTGAAATGTCACCTATGTTACCAACCCATGTTAATTGTTCCAAAATGTACCCCTAAATAAAAAAGTCAGCTTTATACTTACCTCTTACCTCTGTCTTCCACATCGCAGGGTGTGACGCCACAGACCTTCCGGGAACATTCCTGGGAATGCAGAGCAGGTGAATTCTCTAGAGAAGATAGTCCAATCTATTGCAAGAGCATCTTCTTCAGGATTTTGGCTGCTCTGTATTCCCCAAGATCTAGCCATAAAAAATGTGACGTAATCCTCGCCTAGGCGCCATGGATGGCAGTAAGGAAATTATAAATCTAACATTTTATATGTATATTTTACACCTACGTACATTAGGTGATTTTTAAAGGGGGATGCGGGTCCTGACAGTATAGACAGTCCTTGAACTTTACTGGAAGATCTTCTTTAAAGCCCAAATCCAGCCAAAACCTGCTTTATAGTTTTGGACAGAGTGGGGAAGGGATAGGACCCTTTTCAGATTTTAACTGTGGTCTTGGACCGCATTGGAGAGATATCCCCACTTTTGGGACAAGGAGTAAATGGAAGGCTCTCCACTGAAGACAAAGACTGCAACAAGGTTTGTTTTGTTTTTAGTAATAATGGGGAAGAATTAGACCCCCTTTTGGGTTATAATTACTACCCGTGTCTTCCAGTCCCCCTCATTTCTTGTCTGTCACAAGTTCAGTAAAGCTGTCTGTCCACTGTTTTATTTTTTCTTGTTTAGTCCTGTGGACTCAATGTTGCAAAACAATTCTCCCATTTTGGACTATTGTATAATAATGTCAGGCTCAGGGAGTCATGAGGGGGCATCTCTTTGGGTCACGTGGGGGGGAAGGCAATGTTTGCAGTGTGCCTGATACCCCCTGCCAGCCAGAGCATCCCAGGCTCTTGAGCGGGGAGATAACAAGGGCCATCCACATCTCCCCGCCTAGCTCTTAGCAATCTGGGACACTCTGGCCTGTGTCCCATTCAGCTCCTGGCAACCAGTGCCGACAATGCAGTGACAACGCAGGCCATATCTGGAGCTAGAGCTGGGCGGGGGGCCGATGCAGTTGCATAACCCCCATTCCAACAACACCCCCCCGGTTAGCGTACACCATCGCCACCAACCACCCCCTGCCTCAGGATTTGAAAAGGCCCCTGGTCAGGTTACTGCACTACAACAGCATGATTGGCCAGCCAGCTAAATTCGGGTTACATTTCTGCAACAGAAACATAAACAGCAATAAAAACTGATTGAAGGATTTAGTTACATAATTTTAGCTTTAGTTGGGTTTAAATCCAAACGGTTCATTTAGAACAGTGAATAGCTGGGCAGAGCACAAGCACCCCTAGATGCCTCAGACAAATATAGGAATTTCCTGTACTCATGAGTGCCATCTAGGGGTGCTAGTGCCATGAGAACAGCATCAAAACTTTTTATAAACGACCCCCCAAGTATTTTTTATACTGTACAAAGTACGCCTTAAAGTTTTATTCAACTTTTGTTTTTTTACCAGCTACTTTCAGCTTCTTCAATTTTTGGATAAAGCCATTGACTACAAAAGGTAGAGGTCGGGCTTCTAGACAATTGCTAAATAAAACAGACCTTGCATGAAAACTACAGGTAAAATTCAGTCACAGTACAGACTGCAATAAAAACATAGTTGAAAGTAATTACTCTTGCCTCCTTTACTAAAAATGTTTTTGATTTTTGTCCCTGTAGGAGAGTGATTCCACCACAATGTCCTGACCCTAAGTGAGGGCAAACTTCACACAGCAATAAAAACCTGGTGGACATTCTAAAGCTGGCGGTACACTGACTTTTGACCATTTCCTGCTTAATCACTCAATATTCGATCTGTGTTTGGCCCTGCCTACATTCAAGCAACTCTTGTCGAAGGGGCCAGGTGCAATTGTTGGCCAAACAGTGACTACAACCAATTAGATGCAGTCGCTGTTTGGGTCTTCTTACAGCTGATGGGGCCAGCTGTAGGAATACAATAACTGGCAAAGGGAGATCCATGAACTTTAGCATCAATGGGGGAATCATAGTTACATACAGGGTTATTCACAGAAGGGTGAAGAGTTTGGAGAAGGCAGCAGAAGAGAACAATCTAGAATGAAATAGCTGAACTGGAATGTGAGCTGAATTGGAGATTGTTTCCAAACCAGCTATTTTACACTAGATTGCTCACTTCTCCTGCCTTCTCCAAACCCTTCACCATTTTGTGAATAGCCCTGATAGTATTTAAGGTTGAATAAAGACACAGGTCCATCAAGTTCAACCTTTGTGTGTGTGTGTTTGTGCGTGTGTGTGTATATAGGAGTCCCTGTGTGATCCAGTATTTAAGAGTACCTGTACCCTGTATGTTACGGTCTCTGAGGAAGGTGTAAATACTCTCTGCTGTTACAACTGCTTGTGGAACAGAGTTCCAAAATGTAACTGTTCTAATTGAAAAGAAGCCCCTACGCCCCTTTGTGGTTAAATCTTTTCTCCTCCAATTTTATGTGGTGGCCTCTGGTCTTTGTTATGGAGTTTACAGTGAAAAGTTTATTGCTGATGCTGCCGTCACCATTGAACATTTTGTACATAAAAATCATGTCCCCTCTTGATCTTCTCTCTTCCAGCGTGAACAAGTTTACATTTAGAAACCTTGTCTCATAGCTTTGGTCCTCCATCCCCTTAATTAGTTTTGTTGCCCTGCTCTGGACTCTCTCCAGCTCCCGGACATCCTTTCTGTGGATTGATGAATTGAGTAATTTTGGGCTGAACGAGAAAAATCTTAAGCAGTATGGCCACATTAACTCTTCAACACCCTTTTTAAGTCAAAAATAAAAGTTGCAACTGCCTCCATTTGTTGTTTGAGAAGATTGCAGCAATTGAACAAAAATGGCTTCTCTTAGTTTGTCTTTCTCAATGAGAAATCAATATTCATGTCCAGACTTAAGCTAAACAATCAATCTTTCCTTGAACATACAAACTTGTATATTCATCATGTTCTTGCACTAAGCATAGGCACAGGTCTTAGGTCGTAAGATCAGCTGTTCCCCCTAAACAAAATTGGCCTGCAATGTAGCAATGAACCCACAGTGAGTTACTTTATGGCCAAAGGTTTGTGTACACCTCACTATCCCACTTACATTAGTTTGTTGGACAACCCATTTTTGGCTACAATGGCTTCCACTCTTCTTGGAAGGCTTCCCACAAGATTTTGGAGTGTGTCTGTGGGAGTTTATGCCCATTCAGCCAAAAGAGCAACTGATGTTGGGTGCGAAGACCTGGCTCATAATTGACACACCAATTCACCCCAAAGGTGTCCAGTAAGGTTGAGGACAGGGCTCTGTGCAGGACACTCAGATCCTCTAGGCCAAACCCATCAAACCATGTCTTTATGGAGCTGGCTTTGTGCATAGGGGCACAGTCATGCACAAACAGAAAAGGGTCTTCACCAAACTGCTCCCACATGGCTGGATTTATATCCTTTGTGGCTATTGAGGAAATTATCAAAATTCAAGTTTAGAACACCAGAGCTCCTCCACACCAAACCATCCAACCATGTCTTTATGGAGCTGGCTTTGTACACAGGGTACAGTCAGTCTGGAACAGAAAAGTACCTTCACCAAACTGTTTCCACAAGGTTGGAAGCCCACAATTGTCTAAGATGTCTTTGTATTCTGTAGAATTATCATTACCCTTCACTGCAAACACCACAACCTAATAACCTGGAGTGCCGTCCACTCACTGTTGGCCATGTAGTCTAGCGACCGTTGCCAGAAAAATAAAATTAATTGAATGTGAGTGAAAAAAATGAACTCCGGCAGGCTGAGAATATCAGGCATAAAGCCCTAATGAGAACAACTTACCGTCATTGTCAATGGTGAAGGGCACATTGGGGGTGAGAATCTGGTAGAAGCAGACCTGGCTGTACTGAGGAGAGCAGTCTTGGTCCCAGGCCTGCACACGTAGGACCCGTTCGTACATACGTCCCTCAGTGACGGATGCCCTGAACACCCGCTCTCCAAAGACAGGGGCAAACTCATTGACGTCATTCACACGGACATGGACCGTTGCTCTAAAACACACATGAAGGAGAGAGTGTGAGATTAAACGGGTAAAAATATCCATCACAGCACATCTAATTAATAGTCAGACAGGTGTGACACAAGAGCCACTGTATATAAATGATAAGATTGATGTAAATGAGGTGTTTCAGTACTTTCCTGTTAAAAATGAGAAAGCTGGAGATTATCAAAGGGTCTTAAATGAAAGTGGCAAATTGGACAGATAAATCTTTAAGCGCCCTAAAAAAGAAAACTACCGACTGCCATTTTGTTGTCACAAATGTAAGAAATCTCATACTTGGGACAGGTTGTGGTCCTTTTCAAAATATGGGGGTGGAAAGGTGGCAGTTCCTTTAAATAAAGTTACTTATTCCCTGAGTTAAACCCTACCCCTGAGTTAGAGTTTACATATACCATAAGAAAAGAAAAGTTAAAAAGTCACGTGGTCTTAAAGCTTGGCAGGGGAAGAAGACATCATGGATATTTGACTGACTTGTGGGACTTCTTGCTGTTCGCCCCATCAGGACCTTCTCCGCAGTCATGAGCCTGGATGGTGAAGGTGTGCTCTCGTTGTGCCTCACAATCTACGGGGCCCTTGGCACGGATCAGACCCTCCCCTGTTGTTCGATCCAAAACCACGGCTTCAAAGGGAGTCCCGGCTCCATGAATCCGGAATCCGCAGATTTCACCTGTGACAAGGAATCAGTGGGAATGATGGCACAAGGTATAATGATAAAGGTTTGGTGCCTGACACAATGCTGTTATGACTGTTCAAGCTTAAAGGAGAACTATGGGGTTAAGTCTTTTCCCCATAGTTCTCCTTAGGGTAACGGGAGGACACAAACTAGCGTCCTCCCGTCACCCTAGGCTCAGTATACCGCGAGCTGCAGCTCGCGGTATACTGAGACGCCGCAGCTGAAGCGGATCCCGACAATTGTGCCAGGATCCGCCCAGCTGCGTGACTGACAGCTGGCTCTGCCTATCTAGAGGCAGAGCCAGCTGGACCCTCCCCCGTCTGTTCCGCCAGTCAGCGCTGGTGGATGGGACCAGGATCCGCCCAGCTGCGTGACTGACAGCTGGCTCTGGTGACAGGATCGAGAGGTGAGCGAACGCCGGTATGTGTTCGCTCACCTCCCGATCTACTGAGCCGACCTGTGACAGTCTCATTGTCACAGGTCGGCTAGAACTATGAGGTGAGTGGAAAGTACTCACCTCATAGTTCTCCTTTAATCTTGTAGGACAAGAAGACTTGTGTCATTGTATGACAGTGATTAAAGGGCTGCCCTGATCAATACAAAGCAAAATAGTTTTTTAGGTGTACTTGAATGAGCTTGATCCTCTATTGGGTATTTTCTGCTCTTTGGGACTGTGGACTGAATTTCACAGCATGACTGTGTTGAGTCAAAATCTGGTTTTCATCCAAGCTGCCCTCGCCAGCCATATATCCATATGAAGATACTACAAGAGGGCTCGCAGATACCTGAAGCCCTAACAAAAAAAGTATCTGCAAAGAAAAAATAATACTTCCCTGCCTTGCTGCTCATGCTCCAGAACTGAGGTAGTTGAAAAACGTCTGCATCCGACACTTCCAGGGGTGTCAGATGTCTGTTCCCCTGTTGGGTGCTGTTGTGGTTCCTTCCCAAGGGCCCTACTTTCTACTGTGTCCTGTAGTGGTGTAGGGGCTGACGAATGGAACCACAGTACCCAGAGGGGGGACCAGGCATCTGACACACCTGGAAATGTTGGATGCTGAAGATTCTTCAGGTAAGTTAGCTCATCCAGAAAGTAAAGATGGGCAACTCATCAGGGAACAGATTGTTTTTTTTTTTTTGCAGGGACATTTATATTTTTAGGTGATAAATCCAGCAAGACAGTCACCTTAACCATGCACCCTGTGGTGGTCTAGAGCAGAGTTTTGCAACCTTTTCATTCATGGCACCTTTTAAAAGTATGACAAATCTCAAGGCACCCCAGTCTAAAAAGTAAAAAAGGTAAATATAAAGTAAAGTCCCCCCAAAACCAATACCAGACCCTTATCCTAGACAGGGATCTTATATGAGTCATAAGGGGGGGACCCCAGACAAAGAAACAAAAAAGATGTTGTGGAGTCCCTCCCTCCCTTTAGCACAATTTTTAAGGCATTCATGACAATGCCAGAAGGCACTCAGGGTGCCATGGCACCCTAGCTGAGGGCACCCTAGCTGAGAAAGTCTGGTCTAGAGGACTACATAAACTGGTTTAGGCAAGAAACTTTTCTTTTAAAGGAGAGCTATGGGTTTAAGGCTTTTCCCCATAGTTCTCCTTAGGGTAACGGGAGGACACAAACTAGCGTCCTCCCGTCACCCTAGGCTCAGTATACCGCGAGCTGTAGCTTGCATTATACTGAGAAGCCGCAGCTGAAGCTGATCCCGACAATTGTGCCGGGATCCGCCCAGCTGCATGACTGACAGCTGGCTTTGCCTATCTGGAGGCAGAGCCAGCTGTACCCGCCCCCTCCCCCGTCCGTTCCGCCAGTCAGCGCTGGCGGAGCGGGGAGGGGGGAATCCAGCCCCTCCCCTGTCACGGCAGAGAGCCGTGAAAGGATCGAGAGGTGAGCGAACGCCGGTATGTGTTCGCTCACCTCCCAATCTACTGAGCCGACCTGTGACAGTCTCATTGTCACAGGTCGGCTAGAACTATGAGGTGAGTGAAAAGCACTCACCTCATAGTTCTCCTTTAATATATTGCATCTAAGAAGAATTACCAGATTTGTTTGGGCGCAGATGAAAAACAGATGAAGCCCAGAGATGTCTCCACTGAACCTTTTTTTTTATCACTTTCTTCCTCTTGACAGTACAGGGACAAAGTAGCATATAAACAATACGTCTTTATAATGATAATAAAGTATAATTAGACGGCTTATGGCAATTTGTGATGGAAGTGAGACATGTAGATACCTTCTGGTTCAGTTACATACCGTAGATACATAGTTAGTCAGGTTGAAAAAAGACTCAAGCCCATCGAGTTCAACCTATAGAGCTTTTAGGAAGGCTCTACTCTATTCAGTGGAGGGCTTTTGGCCCACCTCACCAAAACCTTGTTATACTTTCCGTTGGTCCCCGGGTCCTACTCCACAGCTGCTATTGTTTCTATGCACTGCACTTATGAGGGCCAACACATGTATGAAGTTTTGGAATAATGGCTCTGAGCTGCATTTGTGCTATACACCAGTGGTTCTGGATACACAACTGACCCAGGGGCTTTGCCCATTATCCTAAACTGTGGACTAAACCCCTTAATGTTGGGATTTTTGTTGGAAATGAGACATGTACCAGAAGTTTAAGGAGGCTCTTCTATGCTTTTCATGATAATTACAACCAAATGCCAGGGGTCACCAGCGGGAAGCCAAGGTGATTGTCTTTCAGACCCTTCCCTGGAATCATGGTTGTTAATATCCATCTGGTCACAACAAGTGTACACATTTTGTGCACATCACACACATACCACCTTCCACCCGTCATCCAATAAAGTAGTTCCATACTACCTTAGTTTTCAATGTGTCAATTCACAATTGGAACTTGCACAAGATTGAGGACTCCCCCACATTACAACACTGGTTGCTTGAGTGGCCAACCGGTAAGCACTAGGAATGCAAGGGGTAAGTCGCAGGCTCCCATATAACTGGAAGTACAGATTTTTTGTTCTTTGTTCCAAGTGACTGAATGGAGAGAGCAAAGGGAAGGCACGTATATACTGCTGATAGTTCCACCATTAAAGTGAACCTGTCACTTTCCCCGGCATTAGCAAATCACACGTTCCCTTTGAAAAGATAAGTAGCATAACCCACATAAGAGAAGATTTGTGCTATCGCCGACATGGTGGATCACGTGTCAAGGAGCAACTTCACTTTCTGGAAGTCAGAGAGATCTAATCAAAGGATAATTCCCTTGTAATTGTTTAGCTTCTTGATGTGACACCACATTAGGCTGATAATTCCTGCTATTACCTGCGTATCTCAGTGGTGCATCCTTGTCCAAAGCAAACAGTGGTGGGTTAAGCAGCACGGTGTTGTCATTCTCCATTATAATCCCCTGGTACTGGGCTTCCATCCATGGCTTGTGCTTGTTACCTGCGGAGAGGACACAGATTACTTGTAATAAAGGACTGATCCATCACTCCAACATTTTACAATGCAGAGGCCCAACAGTAATTATTTTAAATTTTGGATATAATACAGGCAGGTTAAAATTGCTGTCCATTTTTTTTTTGCCATCTGTTGTTCTTCAGGAAGTTTTACCTTCACTTCCTGCCCTGTAGATCCAACCAAAGTGTGAGGATATCTTTCCAATGTGACCGAAAACCTCTCTTAGACAGTGTTCACGGGAACAAGTGCCTCCATTGGATGAGTTCCCCCGCTATTCCCGATCTGGTGGCAACTCAAAATATTGGATTTACCCTCAATTTCATGCCAATTAGAGGGTGTGAATCTCCCCAACAAGGACAAAGGGAGAAATGAAAACCTTGATTGAGTGGAATAAAGGTGCTGGAACTCCCGGGTCCTGCTGTATATACTGTGGCATTGCGTGGCATTACCACGGTGATAGGTGGCCTCAAAGTCACCCAGGGTTCTCAGCCAGAGGGGCTAAGTGGCTCCAGAAAGACATTATGGAGCTGCGGGTTCATGAACCATATTGGGAGGATTGGCATGTTATTGCCGTTGTCTGGAGGAACCAGACAGTGGCCCTGAAGATTGAGGCCGGAAAAGACTAATAGACTAGACTATTAAAAGACTAGGACACCGTGAGTGTATGGGACAACTCGAGGATTGGTGAGCCCTTATCTGTTATATGCTACAGCAAGCTATTTAAGTTGGATTTCGTGATTATCTACCGTTTTGAAAGAAAATAATGAAAATTCAATCATTGTCACAACACCCAATTTTTTTATTGATCTTAGACTCCCTATACCAGGGTTAGGAAGACTCTGGCCCTCCAGCTGTTGTAAAACTACAAATCCAAATGGGATTTGGAAACTACAAATGGGAAACTATAAATGGGAGCCATGTCTGTGGCAGTTGGAGTCTTGCAATGCCTAATGGGATTGGTAGTTGCACCACAACTGGAGGGACAGAGTGCCCAGCCCTATGCATTGCTTTTATAAGCTTTGATGAAGGGGGTGGAGCTTTGCCCCCAAAACGCCTTGGCTTCTATTAAATATTTGTCTTTGAAATAAACCTATATCTAAACTAACATTATGGTAAGGGCTTCAATTCTAGACTTATTCAGCACTAACAACCTGACAGTGGCTCTAACCTCTCACCACTCTATCCAAAGTTAAAAAAAAGTATTGTCTTTAGGTATACTTTAAGCCCGACCCATGAATATCATAACCCCACCCCCACTGATCCAACTACACACCCATTTGTACTTAAACCACACCTTTTTTTGTTAATATTGGGGATCTACAAATATCATGTGGCTCAATCAACACTTTTTTTTGCCCTGGTAGTCAGGGATCATGAAGTGGACATTAGGAATGTTTATGGGGCGCACCATTTGGATAACTGTGTGTATGAGACCTCAGTCTACAAGCAATAAAGATCAATGGACAATGTGCGCCCTATTTGTTATGCATGTAAAGCAGAAGGCCTATGGGTGCTGTAACCATAATGGAGTCAAAAAGTCTCCATCAGATATGCAATAAATTAGGTAAGTCAGCACACCAAGAATATTTTTTTTCGAATATTATGATATTTTATATAATTTCGGCAAGAATAAGTATATGCATTGTAAAAAAAATAGCAGATGTTGTGGACTCCCAGTACAAAAACATTTTCAAAAAGAGTCCCCAGACTTCGAATTACAGATGAAGGACAGCAGGTGCCAGATAGAGGTGGAATAAAGATGGAACGTTTTGGGGAACTTGACCCTTTTCTCAAATCAGATGCCATCTCTTTTTGAAAACTTTTTTGGTATGGGATTCCAGTAGAGATGAGCTTGGAGTGGACCAGTGACGTGCGGTACCTCATATTCCTGGTGAGGCATTCCCCGCCGACCGAAGCCCCGCCCCCGAAGACCAAAGCCACACCCCGTCGGATGAAGCCACACCCCCAACCCAAGCTAGGGTGAAGGAGGAGACAGGGAGGTGCCTCCCTGTCCCTCACTAACTACCTGTCAAAAGCCTGATGCAGCGCTGCCTGTAATTAACAGGAAGTGCTTCATCCATGACAGGTTACACAGCGGGGAGGATTTCCCTGCTCTGTAACCTGTAAGATGCCGATTTGAATGGAGAAAAAGCTGTCAGCTTCAGACTTGAAGCTGACAGCTTTTTCCTCCATAATTCTAGGTGAGGCTCTGCCCCACCTGCATCCCCTGACCGCACGTCCCTGGCGTGGACCCAGGTGGCCTGAGTTTGCCCAAGCTTGCTCAAAACTGTGATTGCCACTCTCCCCTCCTGACCCAACCAGTGGCAGCAGTTGCGATGGGTGTATTCCCTGCCCCTTTGTGACGTATGCGGTGCGGGGAATGCAACTAATTGGGCCGGGAGGGGGGTGTGGCAATCACAGTTTTAAGCAGGCTCGGGCAAACTCAAGCAAAATGGGTTTGCACCATTTCCTGTGAAAGGGGGGTAAAGGTCTGCTTTAAGTGCTCATTTTGGCCTACGGTCAAAAATAAAAAAAGTTATACTTACCTGATCCTCCAGCCTCGCTCCCCCTTCACTGCAGCAGTCTAAGGTCCCCGAATCACCTCATTCTATAGACAGTGTATAGGACGTGAGGACGCCAAGGGACATATTATCGCTGCAGTGGAAGAGGAGAGGCAGTCAGTGCTGGCGGATCGGAGCGGGGAATCCAGCCCCTCCCCTGTCACGGCAGAGAGCCGTGACAGGATCGAGAGGTGAGCGAACACCGGTATATGTCCGATCACCTCCCGATCTACTGAGCCGACCTGTGACAGTCTCATTGTCACAGGTCGGCTAGAACTATGAGGTGAGTGAAAAGCACTCACCTCATAGTTCTCCTTTAACTCTTGCAGTGCCCCATTGCAAGGGTTAATAAAAAAATTCCCAGAATATCTGCTTCAATTGTACCGGTGTATGGCCGGCTTTCCTGGTCGGATCACCGGGTGAAAAAAGCCAAGAAAAAGAAAACAAACGCAGCCGCCACCACTGGGACGTGCAATAAATAATGGGATGCTGCAATATGTGTGTATGAGACCTCAGTCTACAAGCAATAAAGATCAATGGACAATGTGCGCCCTATTTGTTATGCATGTAAAGCAGAAGGCCTATGGGTGCTGTAACCATAATGGAGTCAAAAAGTCTCCATCAGATATGCAATAAATTAGGTAAGTCAGCACACCAAGAATATTTTTTTTCGAATATTATGATATTTTATATAATTTCGGCAAGAATAAGTATATGCATTGTAAAAAAAATAGCAGATGTTGTGGACTCCCAGTACAAAAACATTTTCAAAAAGAGTCCCCAGACTTCGAATTACAGATGAAGGACAGCAGGTGCCAGATAGAGGTGGAATAAAGATGGAACGTTTTGGGGAACTTGACCCTTTTCTCAAATCAGATGCCATCTCTTTTTGAAAACTTTTTTGGTATGGGATTCCAGTAGAGATGAGCTTGGAGTGGACCAGTGACGTGCGGTACCTCATATTCCTGGTGAGGCATTCCCCGCCGACCGAAGCCCCGCCCCCGAAGACCAAAGCCACACCCCGTCGGATGAAGCCACACCCCCAACCCAAGCTAGGGTGAAGGAGGAGACAGGGAGGTGCCTCCCTGTCCCTCACTAACTACCTGTCAAAAGCCTGATGCAGCGCTGCCTGTAATTAACAGGAAGTGCTTCATCCATGACAGGTTACACAGCGGGGAGGATTTCCCTGCTCTGTAACCTGTAAGATGCCGATTTGAATGGAGAAAAAGCTGTCAGCTTCAGACTTGAAGCTGACAGCTTTTTCCTCCATAATTCTAGGTGAGGCTCTGCCCCACCTGCATCCCCTGACCGCACGTCCCTGGCGTGGACCCAGGTGGCCTGAGTTTGCCCAAGCTTGCTCAAAACTGTGATTGCCACTCTCCCCTCCTGACCCAACCAGTGGCAGCAGTTGCGATGGGTGTATTCCCTGCCCCTTTGTGACGTATGCGGTGCGGGGAATGCAACTAATTGGGCCGGGAGGGGGGCGTGGCAATCACAGTTTTAAGCAGGCTCGGGCAAACTCAAGCAAAATGGGTTTGCACCATTTCCTGTGAAAGGGGGGTAAAGGTCTGCTTTAAGTGCTCATTTTGGCCTACGGTCAAAAATAAAAAAAGTTATACTTACCTGATCCTCCAGCCTCGCTCCCCCTTCACTGCAGCAGTCTAAGGTCCCCGAATCACCTCATTCTATAGACAGTGTATAGGACGTGAGGACGCCAAGGGACATATTATCGCTGCAGTGGAAGAGGAGAGGCAGTCAGTGCTGGCGGATCGGAGCGGGGAATCCAGCCCCTCCCCTGTCACGGCAGAGAGCCGTGACAGGATCGAGAGGTGAGCGAACACCGGTATATGTCCGATCACCTCCCGATCTACTGAGCCGACCTGTGACAGTCTCATTGTCACAGGTCGGCTAGAACTATGAGGTGAGTGAAAAGCACTCACCTCATAGTTCTCCTTTAACTCTTGCAGTGCCCCATTGCAAGGGTTAATAAAAAAATTCCCAGAATATCTGCTTCAATTGTACCGGTGTATGGCCGGCTTTCCTGGTCGGATCACCGGGTGAAAAAAGCCAAGAAAAAGAAAACAAACGCAGCCGCCACCACTGGGACGTGCAATAAATAATGGGATGCTGCAATAAATCACATTTTGTTTCGATACGCTTTGAGTCTGGCGAGCATCGTCTTGAGTCTATGGGCTGTCTGCAGACCGCTTGCTGCACTGAGCTAAGCGACGGCAAAAACCGCCATTTAGTCGACCAGCCCCTCCGGATCTCAGCAAGTTCCATCAGGAGGAGGCTACAAGCAGCTCTGATTCTGCATTAATCTGACTGCAAAGCCTTCAACCATCTGCCACTGCACAGCTGTGCCGCTTCCAGAGACTGGCGCCAGCATCTGCAAACTACCACAGCAAGTTAGTGTCATCTTGG